GCTGTCAAAAGGACAACCCAGCCCCGCAGAAGACACCAGCAGAGAATCTCTCCCAATGTAATCTGTGGGACTCCACTATCAGTTTGACGAGCTGTCAAACTGATAGTGTTGCTTTCTCAGTGTAATATATGAGCCGTATCCTCCAATGTGCTAAGAGCAGGAGAGACTTCCTACCCAGCTGAACCTTACTACCACAATACCCAATGCAGAAACCACTGTCTTAAAATCAGACCTGGTTATTTGATTATCCCTATATATGGGCAGAACTTATATGAAAGCATCTACACATCCCATGCTTGTTTTAATACCATAAGTTAAAAAGGCAACTAGAAAATATTTGAGATTAAATTATTATTGATCATCAGCCTGGTTAGGAATGTAAAGCAATGTCCAGGTATTACATTATTCTAAAGTGAGTTTTTGCAGATGAAGCATATACAAGACATTTGTCATCTTTCCTAACCTACAAACTTGATAAAGATAGAGTACAACAAAGAAAATAAATGTTCGAAACATTATACATACACTGTAATGTAATGCACCTCAAAACTGTATAGGTAATGTTATGTGTCTCTTGTTCTCAGACAGGCAAGGCTGGTAGCTTTAAATTACACATTGAACTGTGCTATTAAATAGCTGAGCAAGATGGCAGAATGGAAACCTTGTAAAACGCTTTTAAATCAGTTCGTTGTGTTCAGTATAACTTTGATCTGTTTTGTGCTTTTTGTTACTCAATGTGTGCCAACCATATCAAACATCAATAAAAAAGCAGAGGTTTGATCATAACTCAACATGTTTTCTATAACTCTGCCACATGTGTCTGTTGGCAATGTAGCGCTGATATAAATCAACTGTCTTGAGAAAACAATGTTCCAGATAATAACCTCAAAATATTTCTTTATACTTAAAACCTGCAATTTATTTTAAAAGCAGTGTTTCAAACTTATACACATGGGTCTTGGGTAAAATCAGAAAGTAAATGTTCTGAATCTAAACTGCACTAAGGTTAAAAAGATGGAGGACAGCGTGGAGCTCAATATAATCATGTAATCCCACCTACAGTATATGTGCTGGAGACAACTTGGGATCCAAAAACCAAGCCAGGCTGTGTACTGGGATTCAGTTATTATCCTAAAGGACCATTTAAATTTTTGAGGTGGTTTGACACAAGTTATTACACATGCTGAAGCAGCCCATTGAAAATAATTTTTGCCTAATATGCTAAAAAAAAAAAAAGCACATGACCCTTTTTTGCAATGCACTGCAATGCATTACCATGTGTTGCTGTAGTTGCAGCACGCTACAGCACAGGTGCGCTGCCTTAGTGTATTATCAAAATGAATGGCACTGCAATGCAGCAACGCATGTTACACTTCCATGTAACGCATGCTATGCCGCAATGTGCAGTAATACATGAAATATGTCTTGCTGCATTGTGGTGGCATTGAATAGCACCCAAACACGCTACAGGAACGCACCCTAGTTGCAGTTAAATAATACAGCAGGGCTGTAAAAGCATTACTATAATACAGCAAAGCAAAGCTGTACAAAAATATATCTGGTCATTTTTATGTATAGGTGAATGTTAGCATTTTGTGATCTTTTGTTGAATTTGGACTGCTATTGGGTGTGTACACATGATTGATGGGGGGGAGTTAAAATCTGCCCCAGAAGTGATTTGGGACCAAGGTTAAGAATTTCCACCCCCATCTCCATGGCACCATTGTAATGCTTCCTTATTAGGTGCTAACTGATTGCAAGTACAATCATTCCTTCATAGAGAAATAATGGCATGCAAGGTCGAGTGGCCAGAAGTCACTCATCTTGCAGATAAGGGAGCTAAGGCCTCCTTGGTTTGGAGACTCACTGTGCACTCAATGATCCTACTAGTGTTCAAAGGACACTAGTACGTTTAGCAGCACTACTGTAAAATAAAAAGATTCAAAATGGAAATAACCCCATGGCAAGCGAGTACCCCACTACCAATAGAGTCCCATTCACATATATGCTTTCCAATGCTACTATAATTGGGTAAAGTATTGCATTACTGTAAGACTTTTTTTCGTTCAGATTTGTTATGCTAATAACATAAATGGAAAATTAATTCACATTCAAAAAGCTGAACATATTCAGCACAAGAGAGGAAATGGCATCTTTCTTGCTGTCATTCATCAACTTCAAATTTAATTTCGGGGTGACAGCATGCATTAAATACAATTTAATCCTCAGCCTCTCAATTTGCAGAGACAGCTGGTTTTAGGTACACATCCGCCCCTTTAATTATAGATCACAGTGCCAATATGTTCTCATGAATACTTTTAACAACTGTTTAGGACCCTTCGTTCAATGTGTCTGTGCAACATATGTTGCAGTGTGCCATAGCATTCTAACAAATAATCCCCATCTGCACATAGTAATCATACATTAAATAAGCTAAAACAGCACAGATGTATAAACCCCAAAGTACAATTATTCGACACTGAAAAATCTGCCAAAACAGCACTTTTTTTGTGCAGCTGATATCTCGTTTCAGTTAAGTTCAAATCAGGTATGCAATTTATTAGCTCCAGATGTGCATATAAAATTGTAACTCTGCCATCTGCTGGAGAAATTGTGGTAGTGCAGGGGATAGTTATTTGTGTATTTTCAAAGCTAGACTCAATCTGAATAACATCAAGAGAACAGTCGTTCACGTTTCACATTAAGAACAAAGTACAAAAATTTAATAATGAAATAATACAGCTGTTTTGTATTCATTTAGGTGTCATTTAGTCTTAAATCCATTAGTCGCCATTAAACATTTTGTCTATAATTGTGTTAAGATAACTAATCTGGTTATGGAGATGGGACAGAGAAAAAAAAACCCTGTTCATGTATTGTGTATAAAGGTGTGTGTGCTTTTTATGAACAATTTAGAGCCACTGATAATGATGCTTGTGATGTGTATATAGTGTATATAAAGGCAAAACTGTTTTTTTAGATTTGCATACGGGAAGTGTTAAACTCTCTGTCAAGTTTGTATTGCTTTCTGCGTGTGCCTGCTATGGAGATTAACCCTCTCTATTTTTCTAGGTCAGCAGAGGCGCCCAAACAAATCAGACGAAGTCTTGGGGGTTACCCACTTAGCTGCCGCAGGCAGTTGAGTGAAAAACCTAGCCGAAGTGAAGTGAGCCAATCGCTGTTCGGCTGTTCACTTCGGCCCTGTATGGCTGATTTCAGCTGTACATCGGCTGCCTTCGGCTGGCTTCGGTTCAGCCAAGCATGTTCAGCATGTTCGGCTGAGCCGAATGAAGAGAACGTTCGACTCAGCTGATCGAACATCTGGATCGACTGAGCCGAACCTCAGGCTGTTCACTGCCTGCCGCTCTCCCCTATTCTCATAGGGGCCGAACGGCAGTGAGTAAATAGCCGAATGCCCCAGAATGGCATTTGGTTCAGTTATTCTGCTCGCTACCTCCGAGGTAGCGAGCAGAACAAAAAAATTACATGTACATAAAATGTTTTAAAAAACGGTGTGGGGTCTCCCTCCCGACTCATACCAGAACTTTTAGGTCTGGTAGAAAAGTTAGAAGGGACCCCATGTTAAAAAAATTTAAAAAATGTCTTGGGTCCCCCCCCCCAAGTCATACCAGTCATACCTGGTAGGAATTTTAGGAGGACACCACGGTTTTTCACCTATTTTTGGGGGTGGGGTTCCTCCCTAAAATTCCTACCAGAATACCAAGGTCAATCACGACGTCCAGCATTGTCCACGATTATGACAACTCTGCAAAATGAAAAAAAAACCTGAGGCCAGCCGACTCGTCTGCACGCGATGAACTCCTGCTGCAATATGACATTCTGACGGATGCTGGCAAAATATAAACAATTGGGCAGAGATAGCAGTGTGATAACATTTGGAGATGACAGGTTCTCTTTATTGAATCTGTCACTTTCATTACAGGAGTTTTAGCACAGCACTGTGCTCGGATTCCTGGCACAGGAAGGCTGCATGTTCAGCTCTCCTGTCTCAGTGTTCACACGGAGCAGAGCAGAGCAGAGCAGAGAACAGATGTATTTTCCTATACCATTGGAGTATGGAGTATGGAACACTGTTGGTGGTTACTTATTACAGACAGGGGTGGACGAGTGCTGTTCAGCCTTGTGATTGGCACCCTTCTGCCACACAGCATAATAGGGATGTTCAGATACCAGTTCAGATACCAGTTCAGATACCAGTGCCGATACTTGGTATTTTCATGAGAACTACCAGGGCCACAGCGGTTGCAGCTGCAACCGGGCCCTGGCGCTTCACCACTGTATTGTTTTAGAAAAACTGACACTAAACACTTGTACTTGGTCTGGAAAAAATTATATCGGTGCATCCCTAAAATATATATATATATATATGTATATATATATATATATATTTAAAAACATATCATAAATTAAAACAGGGATGCACAAATCCCAGGAGCCACATAGCCAATACTGCCTAAAAATAATAGCTGCCTCCTAACTTTTGAGTTTTTCTCTAGTCTAGTCTTGTAGCTGGAAAAGTATCAGTACTTGTACTTGTACCAAGTACAGTACTTGGTATCTGAACATCCGTACTGCATATCCAATTTGGATAGATTAATGCAAATGTATTTTTTGTGGCAGATGGTAATGCAATGGGACTATTTAGCCTATGTGTTGTTTCCAATGTTGTTGTCAGCTCCAAGGAGGCCAAAATCAGATAGCTGAAATGTGTAACTATAGAAGGGAATAGTGTTAACCCCTTCGTGACTGACGACGTACAGTGTACGTCGCCAGCATCGGGGCTGTTTAGGTTAAACCAGAAGCAATGGACATTATTTTTTTTACTAGTGTCACCTGACACAAAATGTGCATTATCGAGATCTCAAAAAGCAAGAATTTTCTATTTTGGTAAAAGGGCAGAGGTTTATCACTATGTGATAGATATAAAGGCTCGCCAAAATCACAATTTCCTGACTTATTTTCCTCTTTTTTTTCTACAGAACAAGTGTCAGCATGTACTCACGATGGACAGCTTTATGCCGACAGGGATGTCTGGAAACCAGAACCTTGCCAAATTTGTGTTTGTGACGGTGGGAACGTTTTGTGTGATGAAATCCTGTGTGATGATACCGATCCTGAGTGCCCTAACCCTGAGATTCCATTTGGAGAGTGCTGTCCAATATGTTCAACAGCTTCACCTGTAGGTATCAGTTAAAGAAGATATTTATCCAAGTCACTAACCAAAAACTAATATTAACCAAAAACAGGAATTTTGACTTCATTCTGCCTTTAGTTGCTGTACTCTTGTTCCAGGCCAGTGACTCAGAACATACTAAAAACAGAGAAGGCCAGGCAAATAACATTTTCAGGAGGTCAGCAATAGCTGCCTTCATATTGTTCCAGGCACACATTTCCTTTTAAAAAGAACATTTCCTTTACCCAAGCATGTAAACATAATGGTACCTTTATAATCGACTCCATCAGCTGTGTTAAGTGCACCCTCCCTTTCCCTAAAACATGCAGTCTAAGAAGAAGAAGCTAAATTAAAAGCTGATATGCACATTTTGACTTTTGCTAAAAGAAATGCTCATCGGCTAAGCCCTCATCTCTATCTCCAACCACTGCTTCTAATTAATGATCCATGCAAAGAGCAGTGTCATGTGACTGTCATAGGAAAGGCAGGGGTGTGTTTGGCCTGTGGGATGTAATTGACATTCACTATCTTGTGCGAGTTAAAGCCCTATTGACACTCAGTATTTATTACTGTAATACAGCCAGCAGGACCGGATTTACTCTCCCTGCTGCCCCAAGGCCGGGTTCCTCAATGCCACTTGTGAGGATATAGCTTAAACCCAGTCCCGAACAGACCCTAGGCACGGACTGGGATGAACCAGAATAGGGTGGGACACCTGGCCACATCAAGCTAGCATATCTGTGATATCTCTAAAGTCATCCACAAAACACTAAAGATAACGATCAAGGGGGTGCCTGTAGCCGTATGGAGTCTGTGGTCTCCCTTAGTGGTCTGTGGTACCTTAACGTAAAGTTACACTAAACTCAGGAGTGAAACCTTAAACATGTATTCAAGTTCTCTAACTGGTAACAGAAATGTAGCTTATGTGTATCACTTGGCTGTAGATCCTCAAATCACCTCTGAATTCGTGCTGACACTGTCCTTCCTTCTGGATGGTGGCTATCTTTGTTTCCCATGGCCCCTGTGTGTGTTGTAATGTAGCTCGCTCCCAAGAATAACTACAATCTCAGTCTACAGCTGAGTGATGCATATATAGGGTACCGTATTGTTAATAGATAACGTACTTTAATGCATTTTTACAATTTAACTCCTGAGTTTAGTGTCACTTTAGGTTCATATCTTAGATCAATAGTCATAAGGTATTTCTCCAAACACAATAGTACTTCTGCACACTTTGAAAATTGATCAAGGAAGAACCACACTGCAAACAAAATACAAAGGAAGATAGAGGGCACAAGGACCTAGTGTACTGTCCCAGTACCAACCTCACTACCTGGAAGTGCTGCTTAGCTGCCTAACTGAAGCTGTGAGATGAATGTCACTACCTGCTACCATCCTGTAGGTTCATCTCTCTGTACCTGGGAGATCCAAGTTCTCACTTCTTCAGTTGCTGCCGCTGGCTACGGAGGATTGCTGGACTTTGACATCTCTGCCCCTTGTTGTTCTTCCACATCTGGACTCAAGATACTGCTGGACAGGGAAATACAGGATATTCACAGCCTCAAAAAAGCTACTTATTTTTATTCCTTAGTATATTTTCACTGTATTGCCATTGATGTTAGAGGAGTTGCTTTATCGGTAAATTTGTGTTATTTGGCGCAAGATTGGTTTCTAGTAGTTATTCCTGCAACCATTTGAAGAGCTTATCCCTATAAGCTATACTGCTTCCACTGCAAGATACACCTTTTTTCTTTTCTTCAATTCAGTTGAGTGCATTCAATGATAATTATATACTGTACATGATGATCCACTCTCCCATGATGCAAGGCTGTTTTTTTCTTGTAAGCATATATTACTATAGTATCTCTAGAAAAGTACACGGGGTCCTTGCACCCTCTGGTATCTGATGCCGGGGAAAAGAGGCAAAGCCCTGGATGCCTATGTGGACTTGCCAAGCAACACGGATGATGATCATTTGGCCCTAAAGTAATGCTTAATCACAAACTATCAATTGACCTAAGAAGAACACTGCAAGAAATTCAAATCGCTGGAGAAAGGAGCTGCCGACACTTACACGAATGTGGTAAGCTAGTTATGCATCGCATTCCGGCAGTGGAGTAAAGAACTGAAAAAAGATTCCTGTAAGTCATGTTGGTACCACAAGAGTTCGGCAGTTTGGAGCCTTAGTCTTAGTCTGCCGAAATCACAGCATACTTAGCAGATACTATTGTAAGCACTTCGTTATCTGACCACCACAGCTCTCCTCCTAGTGGCAGGAAATCAGGGAAATCACCAACGACAGCCCCTGTTACACTTGTGAGTCAAACCTCTCATCAAGTAGCATCTGAAGCTCCTGGCAACAAGCCAGCATCAGTTGATGCTGATAGGTGTTACACTTGTGGCAAGCCAGGCACCTTGAGAGCAATTTTCCTTAGCTGAAGAAGCCAACTTCTCCCGGTTAGCCAGCTAACACCCACTCCTCTGATCTGTTCATCAGTTGAAAAGCAATGCGCAACGACACCAACCTACAGCCCGTCATCATTGGCAATTAAATTGTCACAGGTTTTGGAGACACTGGCACAGAAGTCACAATTGTTCACTTTAAACTTGTGAACAAAAAGGATAACATCTCAGAGAAATGTATTACACTGACTGGAGTCATGGAACCCACTCACATGTGAGAGTCTTGGACAAGTTTCTTACACCTGTGCGGCTGGGTGCAGATCTGAGGACTCTGTACTCATGCTATGCCCCTTCTAAATGGGCACCCAAGACTCACCAACTTTACCCTCCGGACATATCATGGTAATGTGTAAAAATGTGGGTGTGCTATCTGGGCAAAGTGGAGATGCACATTTCTTCTAGGGAAGTAGATCAGGATGGAATAACCACCGTGCATGCACAGTTACCCAGTACATGTATGTCTGATGTAGAAAATGTAATTGTTGAATCTGATGACAATGTACTGCCGGTGTTAATACACTCTTAATACTATAAAGGCTGCAGAGGCGTACTCTCTGGTCACAATGTAGTGGCATAGTACCTATAACCCTTTTTCTTCCTCTGACCCAGTGGACTCAGCCTCTTTTGAACCTCAGTTGCTGTCCCCACAAATGAAAAGTCTGTGTGAGCATTTCAGTGGGACTGAGATGTTTGTGGAATGGCAGGACTGGGAACGGTTTGCTTAAAGGGAGATATCCCAGGAGTCCACACGCTGTTCCCTATTTTAAATCCTATATGGAAGATGAGTAAGAAGACCTTTAGACCTAATCCAAGAGAAATGGGAGGGCAAGGTTGCTGGCACCAAGGTCTGTGTGGTATATTATATACTAAGGTTCTGAGACAAAATGCAGACACTGGTTGGGATGAGTACAAGAGAGCATGACACATGTTTAGGCCAAGAAAAGTTGCTGGTATGGCCACAGTGCCAGAAATCAGATATGACTTTTGTCAGAAGGTATAAGTTCTACTCCCTATGCAGCCTAAATGATATCACTTATGTGGCAAGTTTGTGAGAAGTGGTAGAAGACCGTAAGGATTCCATATAAACATGCTCAAAACACTGAAAAAAGCAATACCGGCGCCCCCGGTTTGCAGAGAAATCCGGCTGTAAAGTTCATTGGTACACCATAGAGGCAGCTCCCACCGGTCAACAACGACCATCGATCTGGGATATTGATGCTCAAAACACATCATGAAAGAACAGCATACGTAATGCAGATTGCAGCCAATCTGGACAGGAAGAGAAAGATTGTGCCTAATAAAATCATCTTCAGCCTCCTTCAGCATGCCAGTCAGACTTTTTGATTGGGTGTAGATAGATCTACGTTGCTTTCTCCGGGTCCAACAAAATCTCTGCACAGAGTGGGATCTGGGAGTACAATAACCACACACATCATAAGATTTTACAGGTACACAGGTCCACACTCCAATTTAGTAGATACATTGCAAATCTGTAAAAATTCAAAGTTTATTGTAGTTATTTTGCATGTTCTTTGTTCACCTAATGCTGGGTTTTATCTTGTCAGTTTAATATAGATATGTACCCAAGATCCAACTACTTTCTGTGTTTTTTATATTTTAGGGGAGTGGTTAGAGTTGCAAAAGAGGGTGTAGCTGTTGCAAACCTTTGTCAAAAGTCTATATTTGCACATCAGTAACAGTGCTGTTTCCTCTGCTATGGCTGCATTTGTACCAGCTATTGGAGTTAATTATAAAGATACTACTATGTTTGCTTGCTTGGGAAATGGAAATGTTCCCTTAACCTAACCTAAAACATAGCCCTTAACTTAACCTTAACCCTTAATTGCCCTAAAATATAACAGTCCTGTGCCAAACACAACAGAGCTGCAAGGTACCAAATAGCTTTTATTGGGTTTTTTTCATTAAACATTTAAGAATAAATCTGTAAAATCATAGGTTCCTTGAGACTATTTTACTAAAGGAGCTAAGAATCTTTACATGGTAATTTGTGTTAATATCCACTTTACTTATCCAGTTATGTGTAGATAAAATAAGTAAACATGAATTTTCTTTTTACATGATTAAAACGTTAAAGTGCATATTAATAAATAAGACAATACAAAATTGTCATAAGTGACAGCTCCACTAATTATGAGAAAAAAGAGGATTGGGGAGTCAAGGTAAGTGAGTGGAGAATGTAATTTAAACTACCCCTAATATTTGATATCTACCTCCTGGACCTACAGCCAGCTTTTACATCTGCTGGGGTCAGAAGACCTTTCATAGCTTTACAAAGGACCAACACTGTTAGAAAGAAGCAGACAGAATTCCTGAATTGGATCACTCTAGGACTAAGTTAAGGTGTAGTTTACAATTGGCACTCACCACCCCTTACTTCTTCCCTTCCCCAAGTCCACCAATGCTCTTTCATGAATAATACAAAATATATGATATTGACACAAGCCTGCTCCAGATCTGTTTTTTTTTTGGTTTTTCCACAAATTTAGTCATATTTTAAAACCATAGGTGAAAAATGTAACAACAAAAAACATAATTATTTTCTATATCTTCTTTATGAACAGCCTACCCCTACTAATGGTGGTGTAAAAACCGGAACAAAAGGAGAGAAAGGTGACAAAGTAAGTGATTATTTTATCAAAAGTTTAAAATGTTTTAGATGTATTAAGCCTTGACTCGTGGTGGCCACAAGAGAGTTGGAAATGAGACCTATCTGCATGAAAGCTTTAGAAGGTAATTACAGCAAAGTGATAATTCATAAATACAAACCACAGATACAAATTAAGTAATTGGGTCTTCATTGTTGAGATATAGATGACCCTGTATAAATATAATTATGTGCACCCTCTATTGACCAGAGCAATTCTGACACCTTTGCTACAGGCCTGTTTATTTGGCAAAAATTAATTAAGTAATAATTAGGTAATAATTTATTTAGTAACAAATTACAAAGTAATACATTTATTGTTTTTTCTGGATAAACAAGGCTTTCTTTTTGGTGAAAGTGTTTTGCAATCCATAGACTCAAAAGTAGCAACACTAAAACTAAGCATGATTGTTTTGCTTTAATTAGTGTTAGTTTAAAAACAAATATAAGTAATGCATAAAAGATATCCCTCAACCCTAAACAAAATTTAGCACATTGTCCTTGCGCAGTGTTTCTTATTATACTGTAATAATCAAGAAAAAAGGGGGAGAGAGAGAATACCCTTTCCAATACAAACTGTATGAAAATCAGGTGCATGTAGTCAGTGTACTGCGCAGGGCAAAAAATGAAGGTAACTAGTTTCGCAGACCTGATCCGCTTCCTCACACCCAGCTGTGCAATCTGATTAATACAGATACACAAAGTATATTTAATGAACTGATCCATATTTAACAGTCCAGAAAATGTTGTAAAAAATATCAAAGTACATAATTATACATACAAAACAGGTTGGGGAATGGTGTATGTCTCATATCCCCCTCCTTCTCCAGTGGTAATCCCCAGATAGGGTCAATGTCATTCACCCCCATGGATCGCAGAGGACACAGGAGCGACACTCCCAGTGAGTCTATAAGCATAATCAAATCAGTCATACTATTAAACGTTGTCAATTAAAAAAAAGATTTTGTAGACAAAAAAATATACATTTTATAATTTGTCCTGTTTAAAATGGCACTAAATTTATAATTCTGGTCCAAAACAATGCAAAGGTATTGACAAATGATAATATGACAATAAACAACATGGGAGAAAGGGAATAAGGCCTTAATTAGAGCTGATTAGGGTAAACTAAGGATTATTAAGAGATTCAATGTTTTATTTACTTATCATGTTGCTTCAACTGACAACTTTTGCAGATGCCCTTTCATTTGCAGATGAATGAAACAGAGTAAGGACTTATGCACACGGCAATGGAAATATATGAGTCCAGGTGCCATTGAATGCCGTTCAAAGCTATGGCTGATTGCACATCTAGACATTTAGCAGCATCAAGGTGCATTCAGCCTAGCTGTGTTTACACACACTAGAATTTTCTGCATCCCGGGGCCGTTAAGCCCGGTTCTAAACACAAGAACAGTGATCTAGAAAACCTAAAAGTTATTTATCATTCACATATACATTTGAATGTGTTTAATGTGCATGAGGCCTCAGCCTTTGCTCACACCTCTGCTCCCACATTGCAAAGATGTGAACTGAGTCTAAATGCAAAAGTAACAAAGTTACTTTATATGTCCCGATCTCACACCTGAACAGTGTTTATAAACACCGTGTCAGAAGGTCTGTTGTTTGACAGCAGCAGCTGTATTTAAACAAACTCAAAATACCAGCAAATGTGAAGGGGAGATTGGTAGTGAAGCAGAAGGACAAGGAGTACTTCACACACCCTGTGTACTTCAGTAAAGTTTTTGGGGGTTTGTAGCTTGTAGCAAGGACCACAGCTGGTTAAAATAGAAGGTTTGGGGGAGGGATCAATTGTATTTAGCTGTTTTTTTACATTACTAATTTAGAATGTCTCAAAGCTAAGAAACTATCTAAACAGTAAATATTTACAATCAAACAGATATATGTATGGACAGGACATAGGTGTAATAAACATAATCAACATATTTAATATTTCTAATAAAAGGTATTTCAATAAACATTTCTGAACAAATAAATTATTGACAAATTATCCTGAGGGTTACATGTATCCTTACAACTATTATGAACCTATTCTTGTGACAAAACACAGCCTCCTATAAGCTTTATTATTTTAGGTTTCTTTCAATGAAAGTTAAAAACATATAGTAAATAAGTAACATTAAAAAAGAGACAGTACAAAAATAAGGATTAAATACATGAACAAAAAAGGAAAAAAAAAACACAAATACAAAGAACACTACTTGAAAAAAAATTAATAAAATAAATAAATAAATACAAAGAAAGAAAAAAGAACTGCCTAAGAAGCTTATGTAATTAAAGGAGAACTATGAGATGAGTGATTTCCACTCACCTCATAGTTCTAGCCGACCTGGGACAATGAGACTGTCACTTTAGGCCAAACCAACAAATAGATGTTTAATGGAGTTTTCAGATGCACAAACAGGCAAATAAACTGTTTTAACAATTACCAATAGTACAGATGAAAATGAGGTATTCTGGCAAGAATTGCTGTATATAACACAGTATTTATATTTCTTATCAGGGCACTAATGGCATTCCTGGCAGAAATGGTGAGAATGGCGGTCCTGGTGTACCTGGTCCTCCTGGCCCTCCTGGAATTTGTGAAAACTGTGCTTCCCCTGGAGGGGTATGTAAACTCTATTTTGCATTTTCACATTCCACATTTCATAGGTAGGTTCTATGAGAAAAAATATTGTACACATTATTATTTTCATGTAAGTTATAATCATATTTTCAGGAGATGACACAAGAGTGAGAGGACATAGATCAGGGGTAGCAACCCTGGAGAGATGGAAATGTAATTGAATAACATGGAAATCAAAGATCACCAGGGTGTAGCACACTTTTTTTTATTAAGGTGGTAACCGAGCAAGGCATGTAAGAATGGTTTGTTGAAAGGAATCCAGGGGTCTGTAGTAAGTAACGCAGAGTTCATAGGTCAGTAATATGTAACACACAGTGCAGGGGCCAGCACTAATTTTCTACCCCCTAAGCTAAAATCACACACAAAACAAATCCCCCTGTCCCCCTGTAAAATTCACTCATCAAACCTCAGATGCAGCGGCATATGGCAATGTAAGGGAAGTCCTCCCAGCTCTTTCCCTGACCTGTGTCAGATGATACTATGATACTCCAGAGCTAAGGAGGAGCCTAGAACTTTCCTCAGCTCAGCAGTGTCTAATGTTGCTTTAATCTGAGGTTTGAGAGGTGGCAACCACTTCTGACAGAGAGGTGGCAGGGCAGAGTGTTATCTATCCCTCACATGGTTGAGATTGAGTAGTTGCCCACAGAAGCCAATCAGTTTATCTCTTCAGTTTCTTCAGTAATGCTTTGAAAATGAAAGAGAGAAGCTGATTGGTTGCCATGGGCAACTGCTCCAGATACTGTCTGCTCCAGATTTGATTCCCTTTAATGTGTTTTACAAGCCACAGCAGACTAGGCTGGTGTGAATGAGTCTTTCTAGTTTAAGATTAAATGAGGTTAAGTAAAGACTAATATTGCACAGCAATACTTTTGGAAATGTTACATTTATCTTGAGGCTAACATGCAGGATAGAATGGGAAGGTGCACAATTACATTTACACCTCATCTTGTTGAAGGAGCATCACAGTGTTTCCAGTGCAGAGATTCAATAGGGTTGGACAGGGTAGCTGTCTCATCACACCCTGTTCTCAGTGAGACATCTGTATCTTTATGTCCATACACAGAGAGGAACTGATGTCAAACAATAGGTAATAGTTTATATAGGGAGGGCCGGGACTAACACATGGCTTGGGATGTGATTCAGTAGGGTGCAGAGTGCACTGCATTTTGGAAGGCAGACATGTTCATTATAGAACTAACCTTTGTGTTCTGCTGAACTTCCCAAAGTAAAGTATTTCCAGTATAAATCCCAGGAATAGCAGGATCCAGTAAAGCAATGTTCTGTAGCCCGCAAAATGATTTTTGCCAAGGGGTTTTAGTATATTTAATAAGAAATATAGGCTGGATACATGATTGCACACAATGGTGAAGACATACATAAAGCTGTACTTGATTCCCTATGACATTTAAAATGGTAATTGACACTGACCATATTGTCTGTAGATTTCATATTTTACACACTGTAGAGTCTAGACATAAAATATTACAATAAATATCATCCAGTCTGAAAGTTTGAAATTCATATTTCAGAAGAAAAGAAGCATTTCCATAAGACAACTTGTTATCGACTTTACAAACGTGCAGCGTGCAGCTATATATTATAAATATTTGCATTTACCTTCTATTTTACTACCATAAGACATCACTTTCCAAAAGATATGGGGACGCCTGTAAATTAAATATTTATGTATTTTAAGTAATAACTCTTTTTCTACATTATTGTCTTTTTTACAGCCCTACCAGCCTCAATATGACTCAAAATCTGGATATGATTTCAAATCTGGCGGAGGTCAAATGGGGAGTCAATCAATGCTTGTAAGACTGTAATCTTTATTTTATCTCAGATAACCTTCCTTTTTTCAGAAATAGTAAGGACTTTAACAGATTTTTATCACGTAACTAAGTACTTAAAACACACTCCACAGGACTAATTTACTAAAGGAGTAAATGAAATGATGCAGTGAACCTGCATGCCCTTCAAACACCTATTCAGGTTCAGGGTAATTGTCTAATATTAGCATGAGGTTGTTTGGGTGTTTGATATGTATTCCTTTTGTTAATTAGTCCAAATTCTTTGGATGAATGGACATTTTATTATATTGCATTATGTTGTTAAATTTGAAGAATGGACACAGTCACTAATGACTTAAAGTGTATTACCACTTTCAAAAGCAAACTTGAGAAAACCCCTACTACATGTTTGGTATGTGTTTCTATTCACACAGCAAATCTCAAAATATATATTATTTAAAATATCTTACTTTTTTCTATTTCTTTACCTAATTCTATGTTGTAGGCCTTTGCAGGCTTCTCTCTCAATTTCAGTAACAGGAAATGCTGATTGTCCTAATAGAAAGACTTAAGGCAGACTGAGATTCGCCTCATTAACATACAATGCTTTTAGATCTATTCACATCATTCTATGTGAATGAGAAACATGTAACAAATATAAAATGGACGTTATCCCAATTTGGCTGCAAAAGTGGATATTTTTCATTCAATGTGGAAGGTTGACGTGTCCAAGGTGAATGCTGATACTGAATTTGGTTCTTGGACCTAGCAATATGTTAAAAAATAAATATTACCGGTTGACTCATTTCTCTCCAAGAGGTTATCCAAAGAAATCATGATGTTAAAACAGACTAAAAATTTGCCTGCAAGTTGCATTTCTGGCTAAATCCACCAAACTTTCAGAACTTTCATATGAGATGGAATACTTTTCACCACACCTATAGGCTAAACGAGATGCTAGCACAAAAGCAATAGCTTGCAGATATGTTGAACTCCAGGCAAGCAGCCAAATAGAGTTGAAATACATATACAGCATGTGAACAGCCTGACCTACCAATGGATTGGAATTCCGTTCAGCCTGTGAGATAGGCAATTCAACCCATACAACTCAAGCTGCTATCTCTTTGCAGACTACATTGTTGAGCATTCTCCCTATGTGTAATCATGCTCAGTGTACAGACTGACAGCACTGTTTAAAACAACAGAGCTCCAATTGGCTTAGTGTACTACTACCTTTAAGATTTTGATGAAAAGTTAACTTATATTTACCTAGATTTCAGCTTAAGGGGAAATTAAGTGTAAGCTTTGTTAGCTTAGATAATTGAATCCTTACAATATAAATCATAGTTTGAAACACTATTGGCAAATCACATGTGTAAATGACTGATTAATTGTGTACTTCACTCATTGCTAATAAGTAAGCAGTTTACAATGTATGTTACATTGTTATGACACAACTTGACAACAACAACTAATTTTACCATATATTACTGCATCGTAACATCACTTCTTTGTGGGTCAAAGCATGGAAAAATAACTAGTGTTTACATGTCTACTAATATTTATTAAACATTCTTCTGTAACCTAATTATTAGATGGAAACAGCACATGTTTTTAGGAGTGTAAATATTTCTACACAAACAATTCTACGCACGATAGTTTGCCAAACATTGTGATTTATAAAAGCATTTCAAGACTAGTGAACATGAAATCCCTTTGATCATTTACTCACTGATTGTAAAATGTCTTCTGAATCAATATATTCTTATATTATCCACTGGTAATTATAACTGTGGATAATGTTAGTTGTAAGAAAACCATTCGGGTTAAAGAGTATCTAAACTCAAAAACAAAAAGTTAATATATTGCAGGTTCACTCAATTTTTACCAGATTATCCTGCCAGTAACACTCTTACTGTCCTAGAGTGATAACTCTCACTAATTGCACTGTATCTGTGAGGGGCAGTGTTGTCACCATAGGCTGTTCTCCTGATGTAGACTGCAAACTCCTACCTCTTTTCTCATCTCGATTTCAAAGAGGGGCATTGCTTTGTAGCCAGGAAAGCTAATAACAGTGTTTGAGATTTCATTGCAGTCTACAGAAAGTCACGCAGGCTCAAGATTTCTAGCACAATAAACATGATTTTTTTTGAGTCTGCAGATCACTTACAGTACTTGGCACCACATCTAAGTACTTGTAATCTGCAGAATCAGATATGTGTTTTTGGGTTTTGGATTTGGTTTAGATATATAGTAATGATTTCTTTCTCTCAGCCTTATGAACCTTTAGATACTGTAGATTAAACAACGAAGGACAAATAATAATAATTGATATTTCAGTCACTAAAATAAAATGGTGAAATCCATCAAGTAGATTCCTATGATTTTCAGAGACTGTTATGGCAAGTTTTTCCGGCTTCCTGGCTTTGTCCAACCCACATACCACAAACCTAACCCAACAAACGAAGACACCACACTATAAGGGGGATTTATCAAAACTGGAGCAGGAAAAATCTGGAGCAGCTGTGAACTGCAACTAATCAACTTCTCTCTTTCATTTTCAAATCTCAACTGAACCAACTGAAGAGAGAAGCTGATTGGTTGCCCTGGGCAACTGCTCCAGATTCTATCTGCTCTAATTTTGATAAATTCCCCCCTGCGTGTTCCCACCACTGATTCATTTTGGTGCTCACAATCCACAAGTCTCCTCCATCTGATATTTTTCACTTTAACCACTTGCTGACCGGGATGTTTATACCCCCTTCCTGTCCATTTGAACTATGGCCACAGAGCTGCTGTGATGGTCCCGGGCTCACACCGGGAACAGCGGAGCTCGGGATCGCCTGCAGCGGCTGCGACAGAGGGGGGGGCGCACACCCGCACGCATATCACAAGCGATCGGGCGTCTCTACAGACACCTGAATGCTTGTATGTAAACAGCCATCGCTGGCTGTTTACATTCAAAGCCGATTTCCCATTCGTGCACGCCGCCTAGCGGCGGCCACGGGCAGGGCTTTAAAAGCACCCACCCACATTCAAGAAGCCGCTGTCCGTCCGTTTAATTACAACGGCCGGACAGCAGGTGGTTAAACAGAGTCTATTCATTCAACTCCTGAAGTGTCATATTTCTCACATCAATCCCTACAACAAGCAATCATATTAATGCCAATGCCAATACTATTATTATTTGTGGTTCAATTGTTCAGCCATTTAAACAGGCAATTCAATTGCTATGTAAACCAAATATTGTTACAAGTTATACAGTTATAAGCATAGGCGTGTGCAGCCTATTAGGAAGCTGCAGCCATGCTTCCTCGCAGCTTTCCAGGCACTGAGGACTGCGGCTGTTATGTGAGGAATGTAAGTGGCAAGTGCTGCTGTGCTATGTATCACTGAGCCAGTCATAGAGAGATCTTTGTGATCTTTCCACCAGCTCAGTGACTAAAAACACAGTGCCCGCTGTTGTGGTTTCGTAATTGTGCTCGGGGTGAAGGCCTATGGTTAGGAGTTAAATGAAACAAGAAAAGGATGCCTTTCTTATGAATAAGAAAGAAGGTGACAGTTTTTCCATTTGGTAAAAATGCAACAAAAAGTAGATGCCCTTGCATGAAATGTTAAATCTCTACATAGGTACAGGTATTAATTATTTTATTTCATTCTAAGTCATTTAAAGTCAATTTACTTAAATGTTTAACTTCTCTATTAACTCTTCTTTATAAGAAATACTTATGTGTTGCATGAACGCTATTAACCAAAGCTTTTCATTTTAGCTAATGATGACATTCATTCCTACTAAATCAAACTCCTCTAATCCACAGTTCGGAGGAAGTGTTTTTCCTAACGCCATATGACATAACATGACTCTTTATGTGCTACTGATTTACATTCCATTATAGCATTTATTATTTGCTGTAGACCACGTAAGCGGGACCTGACAGAATCATTTGGTGACACTTCTTGGATTCTCCATACTCCTGTCCTGTTCTGCATATGTTTTGGTTATAAAAAAAATACAGATTCTATTGTTGTACATCCTTTGCATAAATATGCTCTTTGCTTGACATTCCACAGTAGGAGTGAGCAATATGAACTTGACACACACACACGCATATATATATATATATATATATATGTGTT